CAACCTAACTTCTTCAATTTGTAAAATGAATAAAATATCTATTAACAATTTTAATACACTGAATAAGCAGTCATATTCAGAAAACAGTATAGTATTTGGAAAAGCACAGAACCAAGAGTACAACAGACCTGAATCTAGTTATAGCCTGTTGCTTAGTAGATAATGACCCTGAGCAAGTTATTAAATCGTCAGCCAATAAACAGACAATATAAAGACATACACAGGTTGGCAACAATCATGTCCCATACAAAAAGCAGCCAAGGTAAAATATCTACCAATCACTGATATCCAAGATCTCAAATACCCAAATTACTTTATAACTCTACTAGCAATTTTGGTTATAGGAACTAGTTGTTGTCTCAAAATCTGCAAGTTTAACAGAGTAACCCTTAACTCCTATAGTGCTGGGGAGTCTTACTTCTTAAATAATGAGGATAAGAACTATAGACCTGGGTGGCTCAGATGGTTAAGCGTCTGCCTTCAGCTCAGGTCATGATCCCACGGTCCTGGGATCAAGCCCGGCATCGGGCTCCCTGCTCAGCGGGGAGCCTGCTTCTCCCCTCTCCTTCTCCTGCTCCCCCTGCTCTCTTGCTCTGTCAAATAAATAAATAAATAAAATCTTAAAAAAAAACCCAGAACTATAGATCTAATATCAGTTTGTGGTCACAGGTGTAAGGTTAAAGTATCATATTCTATTAATAAGAGAAAGCCCAAAATTTTAGAAAAATAGGACAAGACTGAGATTTGGGCTTAACTCGAACATTATGAAGATATCAATCTTGGCATTGAGGGTTCAAACCTGTAATAAGACCCAACTGTGTAAAATAAGCATCGAGGTTCAAAAAGTAGTAAGACAAATATAAACCTAGTTTTGAGTCAAGGAGGAGTCAGTGACAGAAATAAATAATTACAGCATACTAGCAAACATAAGAGAATGAATGAACAAGACAGAGAGAGTGAATAACCCAGTGGGATAAGGAAGAGGGAGGACCAGAGGATACAGAAGACTTAAAAAGCAGACGGTGCTTTTTTTTGTATCTTGAAAACTCAGTAGACTTTGTCAGCAAGACAGGAGAAAGAAAGGCATTCTAAGCAGTGGGGAGAATATATGAGAAGGCTCTGTCTGAGTCAGGAAACAGTATGACTCTTTCAGTGAATTAACTGGATTAGTACAGTTGGAGCTTCAGATTTACGGTGGGGGAAATGCAGGAGATGAGCCAGATGATGAAGGGCCTTGTAATGATAAAGAGTTAGAACTAAATATGTACTGTAGGTAAAGGAGAAGTATGGATTTTAAGAAAGAAGCTTTGAATAGATTTGCATTTTAGAAAAGTCACCTTGGCAGGAGTGTAAAGGATGGATTAAAGGGAGTCAACCACTAGTAACCTCATTCTACAACCCAAAGTTAAATAAGGACATTACATCATCACATACTCAACCAGAAATCAGAAATGAAAATAATAATGCTTAAAACAAATAAAGTTAAATCATCAAAAGAAAATCATTTATCTTCATGAATGTATATTGTGGAATTAAATATTTCCTATATATCTTAAAAAGGAAGAGGTTTCTAAAATTAGGTATCATAAATGAAAATTACATGGAACTAGTTGTATCCTGAGAACCAGCTACTCTTCAGATAACTATCCCTTTTTGTAGACATAATACTGCTGACATGCAACATCAAAATGCAATAGAATCCTTGGAATCGGAGCTTACACTGATTACTGACAGGGACTTCTCTTTAATTTTATATATATGGAAACTGAGGCCCTAAGAGTCTAAGAAATTACCCAAGGCCATATGTTAGTAGGACAGTGAAGACTGGAATCCATGTCTTATGATTTCCTTTCTAGAAATTGCTGTAGTACATCATGTGTATAATTCTAGAATTTTGAATGATAATCCAAAACACACTCTGGTAGTACCATTTTCGTTATAGTAATAATGAAATATAAACAGTAAAACTAAACTATAGTAATAACGAACCATAAAATTATTTTTATGTTTCATACGCCTCAGAAGAAAAACAAATCTAGTAGATGTATCCATACATCTGACAAAAAGAAATCTCTTCCTGAAATCTGTGTATCAATAAGAACACCTCCACCCCCAACACAGAGACAAAAGGTATTCTTGTCTAAGGAGTTGAAAAACTTCCCTTCTCAAACTTGGAAATAATTAAATTTGAAAAAGGAAAGGCCTTAGATTAATTTATCTTTATATAATTAAACATCCAACATCTTTAACATGTTTAAACATTTTACTTAGGTCTCAGTATTCTTATTCTGTTGTGCTCCCCACCCCCTATAATATTAGATTCTTGAAATACATTTTTTCCTTCATTAGTACACACAGTGGAAGTGGCAACACTGACAAAATGCCTTATAAATACTGTACATTTCACAAATTTGCATAGTGACCAAAATGTTTTAATTTTTAGACTTCTCTAATTTGCACTTACATCCACTCACGGAAATAGATTCAAATAATATAAAAGCATAAAATTAATAGCGCTCTTCCATGCCTCTACAACCCTCTCTTAAAGAATCCCCCAAATACTCGGAAGTTTGATGTGTATCCTTATAGACTTTTTAATGCTTATATAACAAAAGGTGCTAATCCTCAGAGTCAATATATATTTAACACCCAAACTGTACTGATCATAATTCAATCTTTAATAATTCAGAAGGTAGAGCATTACCTGATTTGGTTTCCAGTTATCACAACAGACATCAATTATATTATTATTCAGGGGTTATAAAAAAAAAAAGTGAGCTGAACCCCAAGTACCCTGTTTCTTCATTATCAGCATCTCAATTATTTTATGTATTTATTTTATTTGCTTTCTCTCGATATAGGTTACATGTGAGCTGGAATCACTGTACCTCCAGTGCTGTGACACCTACCAGATAATAAAATATTTGCTGACTGATCAATATGTTTACTTAGAAATCATGAAAGCTGCTTTTTTAAAAAGTTACTGAAATTTGCTTAATTTATCATTTGTCTTTCAAAAATAGTGAGGAAAACAAAGGTCTGTTTAGGGTTTTTTGGCTGTAGTTCTAACCAAATATCTGCTCAATTGATCAATTTTGAAATTTTGATCAATTTGAAAGTCAATCAGACAAAAACGAAAAAAAAAAAAAACTTAAGCTCCTCAATGGGTTAAATATTGCTATGCAGGATCCCCTTGCATTTTTTTTTAATGATTGCAATACTCAAGGATTAAGTACATTAACCCTAATCTTTCTGGTTCTAAGATAAAAAGACATCTCAATCTTAAAAAACTGTTACTAAGAAAATGACTAAGGCAGGCAAAATTCTTTGCTTTGGCATAGTCAAATGTGTGTTTACCCAAAATGACAGAATTACTGTTAATATGGGCTCCACTGCCTGCCACATCAGACTTCATTTACAGGCCTCTCTGATGAAGTAGCTATCTAACCCGAAGACTTGTCAAGCAAATGCAGACTTCCCAAGCCATACATCTTTTTAAAAACCATATATACGGGTCATTTTATTTAAATTTCACCAAAGTCTGGGCTAGTTACCAAGAACTCTGCATTAGAGTCAAGACTAACTCAACCTTTACCAAAAAAAACTGTTTAGCAGGATTCTCTAAAAGAGCTGCTAGTCACCCTTACGGGTCTCAAATGACGCTGCTGCAGAGCTCTAGCTTTGGGACCTCAAATTCCGATACATTATTTGGAGACTGAACTTCACGTTATCCCTCTCCACGAACGTTTTTCAAAGGACAGAGAAGCCCGAACACACCTCCCATCACTACTTGACTCTGCCCAACACTCAGGCAAGACTTCAGGACAGATCTAATAATGCAGGATCAGCAAAGCAGACTACCTAGGAAAGCGAAGCCAAAACCACACAGCCTTCCCTACCTTCAGCGGCTGGCACGCTTAACCTTAGGACACTCGCCTCCCAAAGAACCTAGAGTCTATATACCCACCTAAGGTGCTGCCACTCTCTCGCTCCCAGAGCAGCGAGACCAGCAAGCCCCCACAGGGATCCCGGAGCAGGGAAAAGAAAACTGCAGAACCACCCCAAGATTTCTCCAACTAAGAAACAACGCGGATCAATGCTCTCACTGAGCACCGAATAAATCTCACGTAGAAAGAGACCTGTTCCAGGATGCTGACCAGCCACAGGCTGTCTACTGGGCTGGCTCCGGATGCCCCTAGAGCCCCCTCCTGCCCCGAGCCGACCCAGTAGTGCCTGCTGAGCCGCGCCCTCCATTCGAGATCTGCCGGAGACCCGCCAACTCGCCCTGTCGCCCCCTTAAAGACTGGAGACCATGCCAAGTTACCGCCCCCCTCTGGGCAAAGCAGAAACCCCAGTAAAGACGCCGGTCTCCGCCGAACACCCTTCCGCCCCCAGCAGCCCACCAAGGCGGCCCGGCCCCTGCAGGGCGCAGACACATCGCCCTCTCGCCCGGAGACCCGGATAAACAGAGCCCCCTTCCCCGAACCCTAATACGCTGCTTTGTCACCCAGGGATGCGAAACACTCCCGCTCAAAGGACCCCCAACACCCCAATGATCTGCCCCTTCAGAGATTCAGGACCTGCTAAACTGAATTCTCTGCCCCCAAAGAGCCTGCGGCCACGGTAAGAGGACCCCTTGTTCCGGAACCCCGCTACGTCTCCTCGAGGAACCCCAGGACCCTGACAAATCTCCCTTGACCCTGAAGTGGGACCCTGTGCGCCCCCACCCGCCCCCACGCCAAGCTGGAAGAGCCCCAGTAAACCGCCCCCTCGCCTCAGGAGCCCCGGCACCCGCCACACCGCCCCTGGGCGCCCGCACTCGGGTCCCACCCCGCCGCCTCCTGCCCCCCGCACTCCCGAGCCCCACCAAGCCTCGCGCCCACCAGGCAGCGCCGCGCAGCCCGCGGAGCCGCCCCCGTCGGGAGCCAGCCCGCCCCGGCTGCTCCGAGTCCCGGCTCCCCGACCGGTCCGCAGCCGGGACGCGCTCTAGGCTTACTTACCTGGGAGCGCCGGAGGGCGAGCGGACCGAGGAGCCCTGAGGAAAAGAAGGCGGCGGCAGGGAAGGGGCGGCCCAGGCCTGCGACTGCGGCAGCTCCAACCTCTCCGCGAGGAAGCGCTTGTGTGAAGAGAGCCCTCCCGCTTCGCGCGCAGCCGGGAGACCGAGCTACAGCCGTGCCCGCCGCTCTTCCCGCGAGATCCCAGCCACGGCAAGGGGCGGCCGCGGAGGCTCGAGTGACAGCCCGGAGAGCCTGTCGGCGGCTGCGCAGGAGGCGGGACTCGGAGCCCATTGAGACCAGTTGTAAAATAGAAAAGGTGATTCGTCCCGCCCACCGCTTCTCCCCTCCCCCGCCCCTCACAATTAACTAGGGGCAGAAGTAGCAGTGACCTTAAATAGTCAGAGGCGGTGGCGGATCGCGGCAAGGTGTCTCGGGTGGGGAGGCTGGGCTTGTGTCTGTCGGGTTCTGGTCAGCCTCCGTAGACACACCTGGCTCAGGGAAGAAGCGGGTCTTCACACTGGTGTGGGCTGAGGCGCCGTTACCCTCGGTTACAGCGCGGCCCGAAGTGCACAGAAGGTTCGCACCTTCCTGGTTGAAGGCGCACCCTCCTGGGGTTACCCGGGTGTAAACCTTCCCCCCATCTCGCCTCTCATCCCTCTCAGCCTCAAACAGGGCGCCATTGTTGAGATGCCCGTGTTTTCCAAACCCCAAGTCAGGACAGCTGGTCTGACAAGGGACTCTCTTCTGATTCGTGCATTTATTTCTACTTAAAGCCTTCTAGAAGAGTAAAAAGTAAATCTCACTTGAGTCCCAGTATAACAAATTCCAAAATTGCATGAAAAGTCGCATCACTGTAAATAGACCCCAGTGTCTGGTACACGCAGGGCACTGAATAAATGTGAAAGGAATGAATGAAGATTGTGATATTTGAATATTTGAAATCTGGACCCGCCCCCAGAAAATTCGGGCTTTCTTAGCCTTTTCTCTACAATGACAGCCAATCTCTTCACCAGTAAGCCCAATCACTCCATTATTATGCCTATCCTGTAGCCTTCATTCATCTTCCCGCCCTCCCTCCCTTACCCACAGCAAGAAGCGCCCTTTCTCTTCATCAAGGTTAACCCCTGCACCTGTGCACTGGATCTCAGCCATTCCCGGATTTTGTTGAATCCCCATTATCTTTCCCCATTATCAATTTTCCCTCTAATCTGGCTCTTTTCTCCTACAAACACACTCAGTCTCCTCCAACCTTTGAACAGAACAAAACCACCCTACCTCTTCCACCCTCTAAAGCTACTCTATCTCTTCTCAGAACCACATTTTCTTGAGAGACATTAAAGTATGTTTGCTGTCTCCACTTTCTCATCTCATTTTTCCCACTACAATGTTGCTTTCACTCACACAGTCTGCTCTTCTCTCAATGGTCACAAAGACCTCTTTCCTAATGGGCAAATATTCTATTTTTGGACATCTTTCCCAGTGACCTCTCTACAGCTTTTGACAATGCTGGCCATCTCCTCCTTTGGTGACTGCCTAACTACATTCTTCTCATTCCTTAGCTACTCCTCTGATTTGGGGGGGGGTCCCCTTTCCTGGTCCAAAAATGATTATGTATTGGTGTTTCCTTATCTTATAGCCATATCTTGTCCATAATAAGAAAAATGACCACACATAGTTGCACACTTTGAATGCCAATAAGTGGCTCAGACAAGAGCTGTTAGAAGAGGCCCGTGGAATGTGACATGTGACTATAAGGCTGAGTCTTAAAAGAGTAGCGTGGCCCATACAAATGCAGGACAGAAATGGAGGCCTTTCAGAGAAAAATAGTGTGAACCGAGCCTAGAGGAAAGGACATGGGCCAAGCCTGGCTATGGGTCGACCAGTTTGGTTGATGGAAGATTCCTGCAGAACAGCCGTGGGAGGTAAGATTAGAGAGGACTCAATATTAAAAGGCCTTCCAAACCAAGCCAAGCTGATTCAACTTGGTTCTGTATTAAATGGGGAGCCAGAACCAACGCTGACATTTGTAAGGTCCACAAAAAGGCTACGTGTAGAAGCCCACAGTTAAATGTATAAATATGTAAAAGTTATAAAACAAACTAACAAACTGTGAAATTTAATATATCTGTGTGTGTGTGTGTGTGTGTGTATCCTTTCACCTTGAAAATATACTTTCAATACAACTTGGAAGACCAGGTTTGAACTTAGAATTCTGGGATTTCTCAGAGTTCCTTGCTAGAACAGGGAGAGCTGGTTTCCACACAGAGCATCCTTCCCCACTTCACTTCCCACAGCCAGTTAAGCCCCATACTCCATAGGCACTCCAGCCCACATGTCCACTTTTCCCTCTACAAAACTGTCATTTCTTGGCCACTCCACAGGTCCAGGAGTACATATCAGAAGATCTGGGGAGAAGCCCACACAGGCCCTGGAAGTGGGCTCACAGCCATTTGGGCAGAGAATTCTGGCTTCTGCATACCTGGAGCGAGGTCTGAAGAAGTGAAATCGGCTCCAGATGGACACATTCCTTTGGCTTGATGGCCTCCTGCTCAGTATGTAGGAATGCAGCTGGAGAAGGGCCAGAACAGAGCCCCTTAAAGGCAGGCCCCTCCCACCCATGCCTAAAGGTGGTACCAGCAGAACCACTGAATTTCTTTAGGAGGCTAATGGCATATATAGTAGATCTGTATCTTGAAGTATAAATCTGTGTGTTTTCTATGTTTCCTACCCCCTCTCCTCTTGCACTGGTATCTTAATGGCAGGAATATTCTGGAAAGAAAACTCTTCTTGACTCTGTCGCTATGGGGCATCTTCTCTCTAATGCATAATTTCATACACTATACCATTGTATGATTCCCTTATCAATCAGTGTATCAGAAACCTGGGTTTCTCTAAATGTGAGAAAAGACAAAAGCTACGAAGCACTCTTAGCCTGGACTACAGCTTGGAACACTTACATTCGACTTCTAAATTAAAGTGCTTTGGAAGTAGAAGCTCTTGAAGAGGCCCTATATGAAGGGTACACAGGCAGGATGAGTACTGAAAAGGCACTAAAGCCACTGCAGACAGGGGCACCCCTCTCACCATCTGTCTCTGTGGCACGATGCTTCACTCTGTGGCCTGACAGTCACGCTCTGTCTCCCAACGACTCCATCTGGTCCCAAGTGCTCCCTTCCTCACGTCGTGCAGTCAGGGCTGCCAAGGAGCCAGAACCACCATGGTCTCTGTTTTCGAGATCCAAGCGGAGAATTCCTCCCATGAATCCTTGCATCTCTTGGTGGTACAGCGGGTGATTTCAGCAGAGCGTTGGCACTCGCTTGATCCCAGGACTGGAGTCTGCTGACAGCTTCACTCTTACCATCTGTGGCTGGTCTTTGCCAACCAGCAGTAGAGCACAACCAGCTAGCTTCTCACTCAGCTCTTTGCCATCTGCCGCCTGTATCTGACCTATCAGTCCAGGGGAGCGCAACCAAACACTCCTATCCCTGTTCCGAATCCATCCTTACTGGGGTCCCACTCTCTGCGCATGCCCTGGGAAAAGCTACCTCCTGGCCACTGCATATTCATGAGGGGCATAGAAGACAGCATTGTTTGAGAGGCTGGAAGAAGAAATCTGGCTGTCTCAGACCCAACCTCCATTTCATCCCTGTGCAGCTTTTGGGGGAGCACCTATCTGGTTAGGTTGGAAGGCTACAATTCTGTATAAATTACCCCAAGAATGAAGGAGCAGTATTCATCTGTCCATTTGCTGACCATGTACTAAACCTCTGAGTTTGGTTTGTTTTTCTGCAGATATCCAGTCACAAAGGCAGAAAATCAAGAAAGTTGTAGTGCTTTTAAAATATGTCTACAAATTCTTTGATACACACCCCTTCAAGAGGGGGAGCTTAATTCCCCTCCCCCTGAGTATGGGCTAGACCTACTGATTCACTTCTAACAGAGACTACGGCAGAAGTGACAGTGGATGACTCGTGAGACTAGGTTGTAAGGGACGCTGCAGCTTCCTCTGTGGTCTTTCTCATTAATCACTCACTCTGGAGGAAACCAGCTGCCATGCCATAAGGACATTCAAGCAGAGGCCCACATGGCAAGAAAACTAGGCCTCCAGCCAATAGCTATGTGAGTGAGCCATTTTGGAAACCCTAGTCCCAGTTCAGCCTTCAGATGCCTGCAACCCCAGCCAACACCTTGACATAACCTCATGAGAGACTCTCAGCCAGAACCACCTAGCTATGCCTCTCCCAGATCCCATACAGAAGCTGTGTGAGATAAGACACTTCTCTTGTTTTTTGTTTTTTTTTTTTAAGATTTATTTATTTATTTATTTGAGAGAAAGAGAATGAGAGACAGAGAGCATGAGAGGGAGGAGGGTCAGAGGGAGAAGCAGACTCCGAGCTGAGCAGGGAGCCCGATGCGGGACTCGATCCCGGGACTCCAGGATCATGACCTGAGCCGAAGGCAGTCGCTTAACCAGCTGAGCCACCCAGGCGCCCAACACACTTCTCTTGTTTTAAGCCAGTTCATTTTTGACATCATTTGTTGTGCAGCAATAAATAGCTAATACAAGAGTGTTAGAGTAGTTTGGTCTTCTACTCCTGGACAAAAATCTAAACACTCACATCCTGCCAATCATTGGGCACTAACGTCACCTAACGGGCAAGGAACACTGAGTCTGTAACCATACTTGCTACATCTACAGTTCAAGTGGTACGGCTCCAAAGCAAAGTGGAAGAAACCATTTCTTGGTGGGAACAAAGAGCCCAGTGCCTTCAGACTATGTAGAGCATCACAGCAATTAGAGATAACAACAACTGTGTGCCATTTGGAGGCAGTTAATAGTAGGTCTTGAACAGTAGGGAAACTTTCCACTCAAAAAAACCTCCAGTGTTTCACACATACTACTGTCATCCAATCTTATGGGAAAGTATATGTTTCCATGAAAACAGAGAGGGAAGGGGTGCCTGGGTGGCTCAGTTGGTTAAGCGACTGCCTTCGGCTCAGGTCATGATCCTGGAGTCCTGGGATCGAGTCCCGCATCGGACTCCCGGCTCGGCGGGAAGTCTGCTTCTCCCTCTGATCCTCCCCCTCTCATGCTCTCTGTCTCCCATTCTCTCTCTCAGATAAATAAATAAAAAATCTTTAAAAAAAAACAGAGAGGGAAAAAACCCTCAAACATCCTCTTACCCATCCATATTAACTAAA